ATTGGAAGGAACGCCTTCCTTTTAGTTCTTAATAAATGTACACTTAGCCTAACAGCATTCAAAAATCTGAAAAGAGAAAACACACACCAAACAAACAAAAAACAGAAAAAAAAACCAAAAAAACAAAAAAACAAACACATAGTGGTACACATCTAACTCCAGAACTCAGAGAGTTAAGGCCAGAAATTGAGTTCAGCTTTGACTACATATTAAGTTCATGGCCAGCCTGGTCTGGTCTACACATTGAATTCCAGGACAACCAGGGCTATGCAGAGACCCTGTCTCAAAATAAATAAATAAGATACAAAAAATTGGCTGGATGGAAGGGTGGATCAGCATATTGCTATTGCTAACTGGGAGTGATTTGGAAATTTGGAGAAGCATTTCCGTCTCTGCCTAAGAATCCTACTTATAGAGTGACTGGTCTCCAGCAGATTGGCCAGTCAAGTAAATAGAAATAATATAACATGTCAAGTACCTTATAGTACCAACTGCTTTGGTGCCATGAGACACTGACTGTACTCAGTTTCCTTAGATGGCCTCTCTTTTGTGAATGCACTGGTAAGGCAGGTCTTATATATGCACTAATAATTGTATTGGTGGGGGAGGGAAGGACAGGAGCTCATGTGCCCTAGGCAAGCACTCTACCCTTAGAGCTCAGAAGGAGACAGGATGTCTACACAAGTACGGAAGGGTGGTCACTCTAGGACACCTGTGAGGGAAGCAGTGTTTCGCCGTTTGGATTCAGGAGCCTGAGGCATTTAGGATTTTCAGGCCACTCTGCTTCACCTTGTAATCTAAGACTTCTGGCATTCATTCTGTGTATGTGTATGGAGGGACATGTGTGTGGAGGTGTGGCTACACATGCACATGGAGGCCAGAGTGCAACCTGTGACGCCAACTCCCACAGACAATACTTACTTATTTGAGACGAGGTTTCTTACTAGTTACTAGTATAACTAGCCAAGTACACTCTCAGGTTTGCCTGGTCAGCAAACACCAGGGATCCTGCCTCTCTGCCTCTCTAACATTCCCTGCCCCAATAGGGTTTCTTCTGTGTAGCCATGGCTGTTCTAGAACTTGATTTGTAGACCAAGCTAACCTCGGACTCAAGAGATTGGTCTGCCTCTGCCTCCCAAGTGCTGGAATTAAGGAAATACGCCATCACACCTGGCATCTTACACATTTATTGAGTGTTTGTGTGCATGAATGTATGGATATATGTGAACCACAGGCATGCCTGGCGCCCATGGCGGTCAGAGAAGGGTTCTGGTACTGGAGCCCTAGTTCACTAGGAGCAGTAAGTACTTTTTTTGTTGTTTTTGTTTTTATATATATATATATATATTTATTTATTTATTATGTATACAATATTCTGTCTGTCTATATGCCTGAAGGCCAGAAGAGGGCACCAGACCCCATCACAGATGGTTGTGAGCCACCATGTGGTTGCTGGGAATTGAACCCAGGACCTTTGGAAGAGCAGGCAATGCTCTTAACCTCTGAACCATCTCTCCAGCCCTTTTTTGTTGTTTTTTTGTGACAGGGTTTCTCTGTGTAGTTTTATAGCCTGTCCTGGAACTCACTCTGTAGACCAGGCTGGCTTCAAACTCACAGAGATCTGCCTCCAGAGTGCTGGGTTTAAAGGCATGTGCCACCACCACCCTGCGTAAGTGCTCTTAACTACTGAGCATTGTTCAGGGCCCTAGCAATTTCTATTTTGGGTTCTGGTGACTGAACTCAGGTCTTCATGTTTGCACACTTTAAAGGCAGAGCTGTCGTTCCCTCCTACTGTTTGTTTTAAGATAGGGTCTCACTGTAGCTCAGACTGGTGTCCAATATGACAATCCACCTACCTCAGCCTCCTTAGAATAAGGATTACAGGCATGAGCCACCACACCCAGCTATTCCCAACTGTTTAAAATCAAGGAATGGAAAAGCTCATGTGTCATCCTTAAGTACTGCTAAGGCTTCATCTTTCAGTGAGTAACACATTTCTACACCTGGGATAGTACTGCCATTTAGTAGCATCCAAAGTTTAACTAGACTGCTTCACAATAGAGGATGAATCACAGGAGTCTAGGGTCCTCCTCCAATAAATTCTTGACAAAAGAACCACAAAGATAACCCGAACCCTCCTTTAAGCTCCTATGACTCTTTAACTCAACAGCTACCAAGTTAATATCATCTTTCTTCTTTCCCTAACTCATCCCCCAATCCCTCTCCATTTCTGTGCATGCTAAGCAAGTGCTCTTCCGCTGAACTACATCCCCATTTTTTCTTTTTTTGGGTGAGGGGGTGGGGAGTTCAAGACAGGGTATCTCTATGTAACAGCCTGGGCTGTCCTGAAACTGGCTCTGTAGACCAGGCTGTCCTCAAACTCAGAGATCCGTCTACCTTTGCCTTCTGAGTGCTGGGATTAAAGGCCTGCCCCGCCACTACCTGGCTTAATTTTCTTCTCTCTTATTTTTTTTTTGGGGGGCAGGAGGAGACAGTATTACTCTATAGCCAAGGCAAGCTTTCAATTGTGGGTAATTCTCCTGCCTCTGCCTTCCAACTGCTGGGATTAGCATGTGCCACCATACCAGGCTCTTCATCTTTTCTTCATCAGGGTCAAGTGAACAGTGCACTCATGTTTCATTGAGAAATAGTTAAACCAGGTTAATTAACTATTTGGACATCTGTAATCCTAGGCTAAGGAAAGTGGGCAGCTATAAATTTAAGGCCACTGAAGTCTATGGAATTCTAGGTCAGCCTGGACTACAGAGCAAGGTCAAATCTCAAAAAAAAAAAAAAGCTCATTTTGAATTAAAAACTCTCTTAGGGGCTGGGGATAAAACTCAGTTGGTGGTATGCTGCCTAGAGTGCACACAGCCCTGGGTTCAATCCCCAATAGCACAGAAACGGTACATGATGGTACACTCAAACAATTCCAGCACTCAGGAAGTACAGGCAAGACCAGGAGCTCATTCTTGACACACACAGATCAAAGCCAACAAGAGCTATAGGAGACTCTGTCTTAATTAATTAATCTTAGTCATCACTGAATGTAGCAGTATACACCTGAGAACACTTGAGGGGCTCAAGCGGATAGCTCCACCACATCTTGTGCTAAATAGAGAGACCGGGTCTCAAAAAGGCAAGCAAGCAACAATAACAAAAACCTAAACACCCGTTAGGAGGCTAGCAAAATGGCTCATTGTGTAAAGTCAGCGGCTGCGAAGCCTGACAGCAGGAGTTTCGACCCTGGGAACCCAGGTGATGGAAAAACTATCACCAATTCTGACCTCCACATGTGTGCATGTACACACACAAAGAAAGTAAATAAATAATATTGGGTGTGGTGGTACATGCCCACAATCCAAGAACTTAGGAAGCGGAGGAAGGAAGTTCAAGGCCAGCTTAAACTACGCAAGGAGTTCAGGGTCAGTCTGGGCTAACTGAAACCGTTTCAAAATCACAAGGGGAAAAACAAGCTGGTATAGTAGCTTACACCTGTAATTCCAGTACGCTCGTGGTTGAAGCAGGAGGACTACCCTGATTTTGAGTTCAGCCTGGGCTAGAATAAGACATCTCAAAAAAAAAAAAAAAACAAAAGAACCCTAGTCAATGCTGATCTGGTGGCTTTTTGTTTGTGTGGTAGAGTTTTAAGATTTTTTTCAAAGCATCTAGGGATGCAGGGCGAAATTGGTTACAACTGTGAAGTCATCACATAAGACTTTTATTTTCAAATGAGTCTGTGCAGCCCTGGAACTCTCTATGTAGCCCAGGCTGGCCTCAAATACATAAGAGATCCACCACACCCAGCCAGAAAGCCTTTTTTATTCATACAAGGTACAGGCATTCAACCCTGAGGAAAACTTTCATGGGTCTTACTGTTAAAGCAAAGGCCTAGGAATTTGACCGTCTATAACTAGCAGTAAAATTCATTACGAGGTACCCATGGATACCAATGGCTAACCACCTACTCCAGCGCCTCCCTGGACACTATGAGAAGTGACAGCTGAACTATACAAAGCTGTCTTTGAAGGTGTAGCCTGGAAATCTCTAGGAAACAAGATATTTGGTCTGCAATTCAGTAAGTGAACATCACATCAAATGCCAGCCTTTTAAATGCTGGCACGGCTCTAATTTTAAATTATAAGTTTATTCTTTCAAAGAATGTCTCCCCTATATTCCATATGCCACATACATGAAATAGATCAAAACTGCCATTTCTACTTAAGTACTTTCTACATCTACAGAAGATATGGCTCTAGGAACAAAGGAACACTGGCACAGAAAACTCGTTTGTGGAACAAGACTTTAAACTGGACACTGTGTAGGCTTACAAGGAGCACATTGGAATTAGTTTGCCTTTCCCTTGCAGCACAGCCATTTCGCCCCTAAGTTACGGCTCGGATTTCAAAACGCAAACAGATGTTTTTGAAGCATCCGAAATGGGCCACTCCATTTCTATTACTGGACCGTGGTGACTCTGAAATTATTTTCTGTTCCAACCCTGCAAAGGGCAGAACCCCATCCCTTTGTCGTAAAATTTTAGAAGTGGGGCAGCCCACTTTAGAAGTTTCCAAAAGTGGCTGGTGACGTTCGAGGTCAGGCCATTGGGGGAGTCGGGGCTCGATGGGAGAAATCCTGAGGGCAAGAGAGCTCAGAGATTTCCAAGCACCGAGCTCGAGATTTCCACGCGCCCGGGTCTAGTTGGGCCCAGGGGATTTTGTGGTTGCTATAGCAGTTAGAGGGCTGTTGCTTTTCGCAGCCCCGAGAGGTGGGATGGACTTTGGTGTAGGGGGGTGGGGAGAGGTGGGTGCAATCCGGCTGGGCGCCCTCCGAGCCTCCAGCTGACCAGCACCGCGGAGGGCATGAGGCCAGAGTTGCAACCTCTGTCCATCCCCGCGAGCCAGACTCTCCAACTGGCGTCGCGCCCACCTCGTCCTTCAGATGGGGGGTCCAGCTACGCCGGGCCTCGCCGTCATACCCAGAAATGAATGGGGGTGGGGAGAGGCCTTGGCAGAGCTTGGCCTCAGGATCCGCGTCCCGGTGGAAGCACAGCAAAGGGGAAGCCGTCTTACTAGCCTCTCCTCTGTTGGGATCACGGGAAATACGCGGTGATTACCCCAAAACCCCGCTCTCGAAGGCGAGGCTGTGGGGCTGCCGGGACGGTTTGAGGACTGGGCTCGGCCGGGGAGACACCAACCATCACCCTCCCCGGCACCCGACCCAACTCCCCGCCGTCTCCCGGCACCGCCACTTCAGGCAGCCCACTCGGCCCGGCCTCTCCCCGCGCCCGGACCACCCCCCATGGGGTGCTCTCACTGCGCAGCGAGTCCCTCCGCTGCCTCCTCCCAGCCCAAAATGGCGGCGGCGGCCACCGAGCTGCTCGTCGCCTTCCTCAAGGCTACGGATCACTCCGCGCGCAAGCCCCGCCCCTCTCGGCCGGATCTAGTTTTCTTCCTGGTAAAGACTAACGCCATCAATGAACTCTTTAATTGAGTTCTGACAGGGCGGGTCCAGTTGTGCTTCCGCACAGCCCGTTGTTGACAAAAGTGAGGAGATTGGCAGGCAAACGACCCAATCAAGGAAGAGATCGGTGAGCGCGGGACGTCCACGCCAAAGCAGATAGGTTTTGGCGTTCCTGGGTATGGTTGTTGACGTAAGGGAACTTGAAGGTATCCTGGGCTTTTTCCTAGCGTGGAAGAACTACAACCCCCAGCAGTCATTGCGCTGCCAGGCTGTCCTCTTCTCCCCCACCATCTCCCCTCATCTTAGTGCCTGAGCGGCTTGGCCAGAGCTGCTGCTACTGCAGCAAGAGGTAGGGCTGAGGCGTTGAGAATTTCATGGACAGGCGGTCGCACAGAAAGACACACAGAAGTAGTGGTGTACACTAAGCCCTTGACAGCAAATAGGTCAGTCCCACCTTTGCTAAAACCTCCCTTCCATGACTTTTTCCCCTCCTCCAAGAAACCCATTTTTACCCCATTTGATTTTTTTCCTTCAACTGCATGTAGTATGATGACTTCTTTCCTCCATTTCCCCGTCCCTTGAGGCAAGAGGGTAGCCATCCAGACCCTATAAACGCAAAGACTTCAACTGTAGGTTCTGCCCAGGTCCCAGCCTGGAGAGGTTGAAGGTGGTCAAGATAGGGGCTTTCAGGAGTCACAGATCCACCCCACCCCCAGCTTCCCCAAGCAGTTTTCTTCCTACCTCCCTGTCGAGGGGACAAAACTTAGGCCTACCTTCCTAACTGCCAGCCTGGTCTTCACCTGCTAGGAGAGTTGAGGCCTGGGGCCTACGGAACAGGACTGGAAAGATGGTCTCTCTCTCCCATTTGGTCCCTTGCTGACCAGAGGTCTGAAAACTAGGGTATGGGAGCAGCTTTCGGAGCCTTCATTTGAAAGTGAAGGCGAGCAGCTCTGGGGCCACAAAATGGCTGCTGCTGCTGCTGCTGCTGCTGGTGGTGGTGGTGGGGCAGATAGCTCCTGACCAACCAGATTCTGCCCGAGGACTTAGGTTTCTGTTGTTGTTCACAAGCAGGTAACATTAGTGCAACGCATCTGCTGAGACAGGAGAAGATGGCCACTCTGAACCATGGCAACTGTAATTCAGAGTCACCAGCAGCCCTGGAGGAGGCAAAGGTAAGTACCCACCCCTCCTGGCCACCTGAAAACCCTGAATATGGGCTCAAACAGCTGAAATCCTTTTTTTTTTTTCTATTGTTGTTGTTTCAAATGTGCTGGCAGATTTAGAAAACCAGTATCTTGTTTTGTTTTTGTTGTTTGTGAAGGGGGAGGGGGGGTCTTTCTATGTGTCCCCCAGCTGGCCTTGAACTTGTAGCCAGGGTCTTGTTTCAGCCTTACAGGTGCTAAAATTACAACTTGCATCACCACACCCAGCTAGAAAGCAAGTGTTTTCAGTGAGGCTTGTACTGTGCTCTGGGAAGTAGGCCAGACTGTGACTCAGTGGTATCTCATGAATTCCTAAAAACCCTTCAAGGGAGGAATTATTTCCAGTTGACAGAAGTTAAAGTTCTGAGGGCTGTGACACCTTTTCCAGAATCACGCAGCCTACAAGCAACAAAATCCCACTTTAAACACAGAGGACCTTGCCTCTCACTTAGTGACTAGGAACTTCAAGGTCAAATAACTTGGTTGGATATTTGCACTCTCCCCCCCCCCCCCCCCCCCCCAACCAAAAAATAAAAAGGAAAAAAATTTTTTTTTTAAAAAAAAAAAAAAAAAACAAAAAAAGGGGGGGGGGGGGGGGGACTCAGAAGAGAGAAAGATCCTAAAGCTCCCAGTAAATGAAACCTTATGGGCTGAACAGGAGCCCGTAGCGCCCCAGCTCATGCTGGCTCTCATTGGCCCCCTTGGCCCATTCTCTCATTACCAATGCTTCCAAAATATTAAAAAGGCAAGACCCAGAGAATTGTTGTTGTGGACTTTGCGGTGCTGGGCTTGAACCCAGGGCCACCTGAATGCTAGAAAAGCGCTTTATCCTGGAGTTGCTTCCCAGTCCTTTGTTTGCTCTTTTTTGTTTTTTGTTTGTTTGTTTGTTTGTTTGTTTCAGAGATAGAGCCTGAGGGGAACTGTAGGGGTGGAGATAGGTTGTGAGCTGGGTTTCTCCGTGTAGCCCTGGCTGTCCTGGAACTTGCTCTGTAGACCAGGCTGGCCTCGAACTTACAGAGATCCACCTGCCTCTGCCTCCATCTCCCGAGTGCTGGCATTGTATGTGCCTGTCTCAATGCCTGGCTCTGAGTGGCTTTTGGCCCCTCCTCCCTAGCCGTTTCCAGGGTTTCTTGGGCATTGAAACTAATGGCACATCAAGGCTACAATGTTCAGGAAGGACAAGTGACTCATGCAGGTTACACAGCTTATTTCTCACAGTGAAAATGACGGTAGAGGGACAGCATGGGGACAGCAGGTAAGCTGAGAGACAGCTGGTTTGGAGCAAGAATCACTAGGGGATTGAGGGCTGGGGACAGGTAAATGACAATAAACATACAAATAAGCCATCCTGGGTTTCTATGTCCAGTACTTTTGTCTCTCTAGGATGGGCAACAGATCCATCTTAATGATGAGACAAGGCAGTCACAGTCATGTATGATGGGTGGTCTTCCTGCAGGTGAAGGGGCAGAACAAACAGCTCACAGCCTGTCTCCACCCCTAGAGTTCCCCTTAGGATCTATCTCTGAAACACATCATAAGACAGGCAGCATGATGCTTCAGATACATAATCCCAGCACTCAGGAGGTTGAGGCAGAACCGCTGAGGATTGGAGACCAGAATGAGTTCCAGACTATGCTGGGGTACCAAGTAAGACTGCTCCCCAAACAACCCTCCCTCCAAAAAACAATCCAGCAACACCTGTACATACCCCTGCTCTTAAATAGTTTATCGCCCCAATGTAAACCCTAAAATCCCCTGCTCAGAGGCCAGCGGGATGGCTTAGCAGGTAAAATGCTTATACCCAGCCTAACAGTCTGAGTGCAACCCCCAGGCTCTATATGGTAGAAAGGAAAAGCCAACTCCCACAGCTATCTTCCGACCTACACACACATACACACACTCAAACCATGTCATTAGGGTTCGTCTGCATGCATACATAATAAGTGAATGGAATAAAACTTTAGAAAGGAACCCCTGCTCAGATACCATTTGTGCTGTATAAAACAACACGTGAATGACAGTGGTTATTATTAGAAAGCTCCCAAACCACAAACTTGGAGCAATTTGTTTCCTATCCCCCACACCCAGGGCTCCCCCCCTCACCACACAGATAAGCAGATGCCCTTTGCAGACACTCTTGCTCCTTCCTCTCCCCTCTCCCAAGGTCTCCTTGTGTAGCCCTGGCTGGCCTAGAACTTGACAGACTGGTCTCAGATAGAGAGATCCACTTGCTTCTGTCCTGTAGTGCTGGGCCTGATAGATTGTTTCTCTGATTCAAAGTTCCAACATCTCTTTGTAACCTCTCCTTGGTTATGACCTCTTGCTGCTTCTCACATAAAAAGAGAAACAAACTTGTATTTTCTGAGCATAGGGGTAAAATGGCGCCTTCTCAGGGGATGAAGACAGATGGTAAATAGTAATGTGCTGGGTGCTAGCTGTGACATTACCTGTGGGACATGACAGAGTGGCTGGGAGGGGAGGGAGGAGAGCCTCTTTCAGGGGTCTTTATGGGGAGCATCACTTGACAGACAGCATTAGAACTGAAGCTTGGGGAACAGGAAAGGGTCAGCCGTGCAAAGAGTTGGAAGCAGGTTTAGTTATATAATTTTCAGGGGGGTGGGGCAGGGAATCCCTGTTCAAAAGCTATTAAACTCAACCCCTGGCCTGGTAACACAGGTCTCTAATCCTAGCTACTCTGGAGGCTGAGGCAGATGGATTATAAATTCAGGACTTGCCTGGGTACAGAGCGAGTTCAAGTTCAGCCTGGAAAACTTAGTGAGACTCTATTTCAGAACAGAAGTTCAAGGGCTAGGAATACAGCTGAGTAACACTGTGCCTGCTGAGCATATGTGACTCGGGCTCCAATAAAGTTATTGGTTTCAGAGCTAGTTTTAGTGTCCTTTACCTGTTATTAATCCTGGCTACTTGTGAGGCTGAGGCAGGAGGATGGTGAGTTGGAGGCTAGCCTGGGTTACAATAGGAAGACCTCGATTTCAAGTATAGCAGAGCATTAAACCCAAGTATAAATCCTTTCTCCGTGTGGGAACCTGTGAAGGTGTCCAGGTAGCCCAGGCTATCCTTGAGCCTGACTTGAAGTTCTGATCCTCCTGCCTTAACTACTCTAAAGCTTTCATTTGAGTAGCACTTGTGGCATGCCTGTTCTAGGTCGGTCTGGTTCTGGACATTGAAATAAAGTGACAAGGTTAGCTCAATTATGGGCTACCCAGCATGCATGAAACCCTGGGCTTGATCCCCAGCACTGCATAAACCAGGTTTGGTGGCCTATGTCCACAATCCAGCATTTTGGAGGTAGAGGCAGGAAGATCAGAAGTTCAAGGTCATCTTTGGTTGCCCAGATGAGTTCAAAGTCAACCTGTTCTATGAAGATGCTATGTCAAAAAGAAAAAAAGGATAAAGAGATGGCCAGTGACGGTGAATTGTCACTGGAAGTCTGTTCTCCCTACTGGAAGATTTAGCTAAGTAAATCGTGAAAGGATGAGGGACGGGATAGTGAGCACGTGGAGCCGGTGTGAGAGGGGCTGGGTGTGCAGGAAAGGATTCTACTTCCAGGGAAAGGCTGCATGTGACTTCTCCTTCTTCCTCTCTCTAGACTTCTGCTGGTCTGCCGAGGCCCCAGATAGCCCACGAGCCTCGTGACTTTGACGGTTCCTTGCTTCTGCCATCAGGAAAGGAGCTACACTCAGAGGAGGAAGCTGGGGCTGGCTCAGGTTGTAACAATAGGGGTTCTCGGACCCAGAGCCCAGGGCCCTGTTCAGTGGAGGCAGTGCTGGCCCGAAAGAAGCACCGTAGGCGGCCATCAAAGCGCAAGAGGCACTGGCGGCCCTACTTAGAACTGAGCTGGGCTGAGAAGCAACAGCGAGATGAGAGGCAGAGCCAGAGGGCCTCCCGGGTCCGTGAGGAGATGTTCGCCAAAGGCCAGCCCCTGGCACCCTACAACACTACCCAGTTCCTCATGAATGACCGTGACCTGGAGGAGCCTAACTTGGATGTGCTCCACGGGCTGTCCCACCCAGGCTCCTCCAGTGGGGAGAATGAAGCAGGGGACAGTGATGGGCAGGGCCGAGCTCATGGGGAATTCCAGCAGAGGGACTTTTCTGAGGCCTATGAGCGTTACCACACTGAAAGCCTTCAGCGCCTCAGCAAGCAGGAGCTGGTGCGAGACTACCTGGATTTAGAGAGGCGGCTATCACAGGCCGAGCAGGAAACTCGGAGGCTCCAGCAGCTGCAGGGGCGCCCTAGCAGGCATCCCTGTCAACAGGTGGCAGAGCTGGCTGCCGAGGTAGAGAGGCTCCGGACTGAAAACCAGAGGCTTCGGCAGGAGAACGAGATGTGGAGCCGAGATGGCAGCTGCTGTGACCAGGAGAAGCCAGCCATAGAAGGGACCACCGGTCCCCAGGATGAGGCCCTATTTCATACCCACGTGGGCCAGCTGGGTTACAAGGAGGCAGGTGACAGATGAAAGCTACTCCCTGCATCCCTCCCTCCTTTGAGAACTGCTAAGGCAAGGTCAGAGTTTTCCTTGTCATTTCCAGAGTTGGGTCTTTGATGTCATCTTACTTTTTAAGAGGAATTAAATGGCCATGTGAGAACCAGTGGGAGTGGCTAGAATTGATTTCACTAAGGCCCTTCTTTAGACTCAAAATTTCTTTTTATCTTATTTTGAAGATTTATTTTTATTTTAATTATGTGTCTGTGTGAGTATATATGTGTGTGTGTGTATGTGTATGTATGTGTGTATACATACACACACATGGCACATGTGCAAGTGCACAGATGTCTGAGGTGTCAGATGCTCCTGAAGCTGGGGTTATAGACTGTGGCACGATTAATAAAAACCGATTTATTAAGAGACAGATATAGGAGTTCAGCCTGATGGTCAGAAAAGCAAAAGAGCCAACCACTGGCTCTTACCTCTACTTCAGTTCGAAATGGCGATCCTGCCTCAGGAATCCTCAGGATGAGACTGTGTGAGAGCTGTCTCCTCCTGTTTTATATTCCTCTCTAGTGTTAGGAGTAAAGGCGTGCACCACTACTGCCTGAGTTCTATGGCAAACTAATGTGGTTATTGGAATTAAAGGTGTGTGTCACCACAGCCTGATCTGTAAAGCTGACCAGGGTGGCTGTTTTACTCTCTGCTCATCAGGCAATTTTAATAAATTTTATTTTATTTATTAAATTTTATTTTATTTATTAATCTTAATAAAATAAAATAAGTTTTATTTTATTTATTAAAATACAAATGAAATATCACTACAACAGGCAATTGTAAGCTGCCTGATGTGGGTGCTGGGAATTGAACTCAGATCCTCAGGAAGAGCAGTATATGCTCTTAACCACTGAGCCATCTCTCCAGCCCATGCTTTTTATTTTTTAAAGACTTAATTTTATATGTATGGGTATTTTGACCTCTGTCTCTCTCACACACATACACATATACATGCAAATACACAAACACATTAATACAAAATCCTAATTAAAAAACTAACAAAAAACAAACAAACGAAAACCTTATGGGCTGGGGATATGGGTTAGTGGCAGCAGCACATTTGCCCAACATTCTGAAGCATGGAGTAAGCCCATTGTCCTCGAGAGGTCTGTTTCCCCTTGCTCCAAGCCTGAGGAGACAGCCAACTTCTAAACGGGTTCCCATTGCTTCTCCAGGATACCTGGACCACACTCGTGAGTCTTGGAGCAATTATCCTGAGGGAGTCTGTCAGAGGTGGGATAGAGAACTCAGGAGCCCCCAAGTTCAGCTAGAACCTGATATTCCAGTTGCCTCGTGATAGTGGGGCTGCGAGCAATGCCTGCAATTCCAATCTTCAGGCAGGAGGATCACAAATTTGAAGCCGGCCTGTGCTACAGAATGAGACCCTCCTGGAGGAGCAGGCTCCAACTTGGAGTTTGTTCAGACCTTGTTCCCAGGATCCCCCAGCACAGTTCAGAGGACTGAGCCTCCTTGATCTTGATAGCCTCCCACCTTAGTTCCCAACCTAAACTGGTCATTATGGTTCATCCCCTTACCTCCGGGAGGGAGGGGCACTTAGAAGTAAACACTCAGGATTCCCTGCCTGGCCGGCCAGCTGGAGAAAGCTGTAAGGCAGAGGGGACAGCGAGTGGATCCTTAGCAGAGCTTTTCTGGAGGGCTTTCCTGCTGCCTCCCTTGGCATCCTCCTCCTGTCGGCCTGATTAAGTGTGTGATCAATTCACTGTGAAGTACAAACCAACTCCATGATGCAGTGGGCTAGGGGAGCCAGGATAGAGAAGGCAGAGATGCTATGTGCCCGCCCTCACCCCTAGCAGATATCATCCCTCTGTCATCTCTGGCTGGTACTGAGGATAACTTCAGGGGTGACAGGGCAGTTTAGCTCACCAGTGAGCCCCTGTCTCTGGCCCGGGCACAGGGAGGAGCAGAGACCTTGAGGATTTAGCCAACTTTCCCTTCCAGAGGCTTGGAACAACCACATCGGGCAAGAGTAGGGCTCAGGGCTGGGAACTGTTAGGGTTGGAAATGTTGACAAACCCTGTGTATTGCCAGGACAACTTTTATTTCTGTCCTGCCACACCCAGGCCTGGCCAGCACCTTCCACAGCAAGCTGGAAGGAGGGATTGGTTTCCAGGGTAAGCAAAGCCTCGGGCTAAGAGATCGGTCTCCAGAATCCTGGTCAAGGGTTTTGCACCTTTCTCTTGCATTTCCCGACTGTCCTCAGCCGGAACGGTTGTCCCTCTTTGCAGATGGGAAACCCAAGGTCCAGAGAGGAAGTGACTGTCCACATTACAGGATAGCCAGCCAGGGACCTGCAATATTCTAGCCTGGGACCGAAGGCTTGCAGCCTCCCAGCTGCTGCTTCCTCAGAACAGAGCCGGGGAACTGAGGGAGGGGACCAGGACAAGGTTGTTTACCCAGAGGCAAAGTGTGTGTGTGTGTGTGTGTGTGTGTGTGTGTGTGTGTGTGTGTGTGTAACAAGGACAGGAAGAAAAGATTCCAAAGGGCTGCTGATGTGTGTGTGGGAGGTTTGTGGAGTGGTCCATGTGCGGCATGATTGCGAGTGTTGCTGGGCAAAGGGCAGGCCAGGAGGCTGGCCCCTCTGGGTCTGAGAGCTGAAGAGCTGAGGAGTGTGAGGGAGGGAAGCTGCCAGCCACCTCCACCCCCTTACATACACACAAAATGGCTGAAGGGCTCTTGGCCAGGATACCACAGAGGTGAATTAATTTCCCCCCCAAGGCTGGGGGGGGGACAGGGTGTGTGGGGGATGACAATGGACAGGGTGGAGCAAGGAGAAAACAAAGCAAAGGGTGGGTGTGATCTGGGAAAGGGTCCGCCTGAAGAAAGTCCTGCCTGTTCCAGCCTCCAGCTGGACCCCCTGTCTCAGGGTCAGCAGTGTCTGGAGAGGAAACCATCTTGAGAACTTGGTGCTGGGGAGAGCTGGAGGCCAGGTGTCAGCCCCTTCCATGGGACCTCCACTTTCCCTTCTGCTGTTCTCTTTGGCAGCCAGGTCGGAAGGAAGGCCTGTATATCCCAGTACAACAGAGTCCACTTCCTCACCCCCACAGCTGGGGAGAACTGGCTTCCAGAGCAAGCTCAGAGGCTTACTTCCCTCTGACCTCTGGGCCAGGAGGGGCCCAGACAGCGATTCCTTCATGGGGCTGAAGGTTCAAGCATCCCACCATACCTGCTTGTCTGCCTGGCTGGTTCTCTCTTTCCCTCTCTGGGACTCTCTGATCCCAGGTGGCAATCCTAGTACCCATTGGCAGATCCTTCCTGCAGAGGGCTCAATTACGAAGGGTGGAGAAATGGACTGAGGTAATGGGGTGCTTCTAGAGGAAACATCACCAATGTTAGGGAGTAACTCAGAATGGGAGAGTAGCTAGTTCTGTTGTCCCTCTTGAGAACAGCAAGGTTGGCACTGGCCCTTTAAGTGGGGGTGCCAGCCAGTGCCCTCCCCCAGCCAACCCAATTCATGGGCACACTGAGCATGTGCAAGATCTGGGCAAGTGAGGAGGGGAGGAGGTGGGGGGGGATAGATTCCGGAGGGAGCTTCCCACCCCCTACTTCCTGTAGCTGCCCCCACTCTCCTTCCTGGGTCTGACAAAGGAACCCATGGTCCTTCTTCAGTCCCTTCCCCCACCCCAAACTAGGGGGCGCTACCCTTTGGGTCTCCTGAGCTACCAAGGGTTCTGGACAGGCCCCTCTGGTCTTGGGAAGTCTCCCCAGTAGTGAGTGGTGAGTGGAGGTGGTGAGTGCCAGCCAGCCTGGCTTCTCTGGTGTGGGCAGTGACCAACCTTCTGCTGCTTAACGTGTTCGATTTCATTCCATCAGTGCCAGATTTTTAAGAGAACCCTGTGATGTTGCTCTGGAAATGAAACAACAGAGAAAGGGTGAGGTCCCTGCCCCCACCCACCAGGAGCTTCCAGTCACACCTGGGGCTCTGCTTAGCCTGGCCCATGGGATGAAACTCAGCTTCCTGTACCTTCAGCCTCGGGCATCCTACCCTGCCGTGGAGAAATATGGCCCCGAGCCTCCCCACAACCTCGAACCTGTTTCTGTCACATCCTCAGAACTCAGTTCCTCCTGTGCAATTGCTGTCCCTGCTCTTTCCTCTAGTCTTTGAACTTTAGGTAGCATTATCTTTTGTTAAATACAAGGGGGAAACAGGGCTGTAGCGCTGTAGCTCAGCTGGTCGAAGGCTTAGTGTGCGGGAAGCCCCGGGTTAGATACTCAGCAGCTCAGGAACCTGGTATGGTGGCTGATGCTTGTAAGAATTAGAAGGCCAAGGTCATCCATCTCAATGTAAAACTTTGAGAAGCAAAAATGGGGGGCCAGAGAGATGGCTCAGTGCTCAAGAGGTCTTGCTGCGCTTCCAGAGGACCGAGTTCAGATCCCGGCACCCATGTTGAGTGGGTCATAGCTGTCTGTACTTCAGCTCCGGGAGAGATCCGACACCCTCTTCTGGCCCCTGTGGGTACCTTCACACATGTGGTCTCTCTCTCTCTCTCTCTCTCTCTCTCTCTCTCTCTCTCTCTCACACACACACACACACACACACACACACACAGAGCAAAAATACTTGGTAAATTTATATAACATGAAATGTACTATTCAAATGAGCAATTTGGTGATTTTTCCATTCATAATGTGTGCATCCCAGCACCCCACTACCGATTCCATAAGGTTAAACTGAAGCCCTGTTCTTCTCCGCCCTAGTCCCCCTTTTCTTAGCCACCTGCTTTTTGTGCCTGAGCATTTCCTCAGTCTAGACAGGCCTCAAATACCGATAGCCACATCACCCTGAACATGCCATTCATTTCCCCAGGACATCTAGGCGGGAGACTGGATGCCCATATCCAAAGTATAGTCTCCCTGAGGGTGCTATGGAGGGGGGAGCTCTGGGCCAGGGGGTCCTCAGTCCTCAGGAGATTCCTCTTCAGCTACAGGGACTGCACTTCTCCTTTGTGAGGTGCAGGCAGGATGCAGCCCAGGCTGAGATCCTGGGCTCTCTGGGCAAGGCTCTGCTGCCTGATTTGAAAAATGTATGCCCCATCTTTATCCTCTGGGCCCTCACTGCAAGTCCAGGCAGTGAGTATGGCCTCAGGG